TTTTAAGTTGCTAATTTTGTATGGCCCACGAACGATGCTATAAACTTTGGCAGAAAAAAGGTTCCCCACCCTTATGATACAGGGTCTCTGAGTCAGAAGCAACTTGAAGGCACTTAGCAACAAGGACAAGTGAGGCACTGTAGGATAAGCACTGGACTGCTAACCACAAGGTCAGCAGTACAAACCCACCAGCCGCTCCTCAGAAACACAATACAGGGTCGCTGTGAGTCAGAACCAACTTAATGACATTTAACAACAACAAAAACCCGAACTATCCTGGGTAGTTACGAAGCAGTTTGTGCTCTCGGTAACCGAGAAATTGGGGGTTTGAACCCACCCGGCAGCACCAAGAAGGAAAGGTCTGGTGATCTGCTCCTTCTAAGATTAACAACAACAATGCAACACACCCCACTGCCACCGAGTCAGTTCTCAGACAGTACATCTTCTGAGAGCAATCGACCTCATCTTTCTCCTGCGGGAGTGGCTGGTGGGTTTGAACAACCAACCTTGCCATTAACAGTCAAATGCTAAACCCACAGCATCACCAGGGCTCCTTGCCATGGGCCAGTCTGGCTAAAATATAATATTCCTGTGGCCTGTTTTCATATGTGAGCACCATAATACACTATGATACATCCAAGACTAGCCCCGTTTTTGTGTGATAAGCTGAGGGATGGAGCCATTGGAAAGCCAGGACCCTACAAAACCCTCCCAGGTACTAATGTCCCTTTCACATGCCAATGCCACTGGGCTTATGATAGGCATTTGACAGAATAGAAGCATGCTAAAAAAGATTCTGGTAGCATGGTGGTTACGAATCGGGCTGCAAACCTTAAGGTCAGCAGTTCGAAACTACCAGCTGTTTCACGGGAGAAAGATGAGGCTTTCTGCTCTCGTAAAGATTTACAGCCTCGAAAACCTTGTACAGGGTCGCTATGAGTCAGAACCGACTCCACAGCACATAACAATAACAAAAACAACAAGAGAGATACAGAACTCTGTGTCAACCAATCACAGAAGTCTACAACCGTGTAATACCTCCCAGGCTACCTGCAAAATCGGGTCCCCAGGGTCCAAGGACCAGCTGTAACACGATGCAGCCTACAGGGCCTTCCTCTAACAGTAGATTCAGGGCCCTTCCATAATTACTTCCCCCAGAAGTATCACCAGAACTGGCCCTGCCCCCACTGACACACGTGGTCAGGCTGCTGCCTCCCAATAGGATATTTGTTGTTTGGAGTCATTGAATGATTCCAACTCGTAGTGACCTTATGTACAACAGAACAAAACACAGCCCGGTCCTGCGCCATCCTTACAAATCATTGCTAACTTGAGACAGCTGCTACTGTTGTGCTAATCCATGCTCATCTCCTTGAGGGTCTTCCTCATTTTCACTGACCTTCTTCCACTTTACAAGAATTTAGAGTTGTCTGAAGTTACAGGTTTGAGAACCACCCATCAGTGACATACTATGGTAGCGTACATGTTGCTGAGATGCTAGAAGCTATGCCACAAGTATTTCAAATATCAGCAGGGTCACCTGGGATGGACAGGTTTAGGGGGAGGGTCTAGCTTAAGACCGAGGAGGAAGAAAGGTCTGGCAATCAACCGCTGAAAATGAGGCAGTGAAAACCTTGTGGATTTCACAGAATATTGTGGGACTCCCTTGCTTTGAGGGAGTCATCAGGGGAACTCATCACTCACTGGAGAAGGACAAGATGTTTGGTGATGGTGATGTAGAGAGGCCAGGGAAGGTAGGAGGAAACCCTGACAAATTGGCACAATAACCATGAAGGTGGGTTTCAACATGCTGATGACCATTAAGATGACGCAGGTAAAGTTTGGCTTTTTTGTATGTAATGACACCATGAACAATTACAACAATGGCAGATTGGGAAACTCACGTTCTGAGTGGAACACTTGGATGAGGCCTCACAGCTAGCAAGTGCTGTTAAGTACTTTTGAGTTGTTTCCCACTCATAGCGGCCCTGTATAGGGTTTCCGAGGAGTGGCTGGTGAGCTCGAACCGTCGACCTTGCTGTTTAAACTGACCTTGCAGTCTAGCACATTAACCCACCACTCCACACCAGGACTCTGGCAGTCTTTATTTATTATTTATTTTAATGTTTTATTGTGAATTATGTGATAGTTTACATGGGAGAACATTAGTTTTACGTTCATCCTATCGTATATCGTTTCATTGCCATGGTTATAATCCCCTCCATGCATCATCAACCAACCAAAGGGTATATATACTCTGCAAGCGTGTGCCCGGTTCATCAGCACACAGCCCCTCTCCCTCTCTGGGTCTAAAGTCCCCAGCCACTCCATCTCTCCACATCATTGTCTCTGCCTCCATCTCTGGTGTCACTGTTTCTCTGGGTAGAGTCCCGAAAATTAGTCAGTGAAAACGGAAACTGATGGCACAAATTATACATGTATGCAATAAATAGCTTTTACCTTGTGATTGTTGTTGTTAAGTGCTGTTGAGTTGGTTCTGACTCACAGCAACCATACAGGGTCACTATAAGTTGGAACCAACTTGATGACACTTCTGAACAACATAGGGTTTCCAAGGAGTGACTGGTGGGTTTGAACCGCCTATTTTTCGGTGAGTAGTCCAGTGCTTATCCTACAGCACCACAACAGGTCATTTTTTTTGTTCCATGGAGGAAGCAAAGCAAAGCAGGGAAACGGTTGGATGTTTTACTAGCTGAGTGCGGTAGGTTGGTGAAGAGTGAAGATTGAAGTAGCCCTGGAGAAAGTTGGTGGAAATCTGCGAAGGGTAGTCCTGCAGAGAGAGGAGTTAGCGCTATGGCTCAGAGATCTGAGGAGGACTGACAGAAGGAAGGAGGATCCAAGGCTACAGGGAGTAGTCCTGGGAGAGTGGGTGGGAGGGTGGAAGGAGAGGAGGCCCAGACTCTGACTTGGTCTGCAGGACTGAAACAAGGCAGAAACAGTTGCTCCTGGGGGAAGTCCGCAAGAGGACTGAGGTCCTGCTCTTGGGTCCTTACAGCAACGCCCCCTGCTGGTAGGCATTCCTCCCCCAGCATACAAACCAACACAGGCCACGCCCTGGGACTCAGCAGCCTAACACACGATGGGGTGCCAAGGAGACGCCCCAACGACTGCAAGGGAGGAAATGAGGGGAGCTGGACTGTTGTTGTTGTTGTAAACACAGCAACCCTACCCTCAAAGGAAACACCTGTGGGAGAGGGGGACTGCCCACTCTAAGCGGCCTTGGAACCCTCTTTGCAGTCTGTGCTCCCCCAGACCATCCCTCCTTCAAGGTCTCTGTCCTCCTGTCTTTGCCTGCCTTTCTTTGGGTCCCCCCACCACTGTCTGTCCCCCCTCTCTAGGACTGTTTCCTTTCTCTCTGGGACTGTCTTCCTCTCTCTAGGTCCCTGTCTCCTTCTCTGAGACTGTCTCATCTCCCTCTTGCAAATCCCTGTCCTTTCTCTAGGCCTCTGCCACCTAAACCCCTGTCCCTCTCTGGGGGTCCCTGTTCTGTCCCCCTCACCCTCTAGAACTGTCTCCCTGATTCTCTCTTTTTCGGTACCGGCTCCCTGTCCCTCTCTGGGGGTCCCTGTTGTCCCCCTCACCCTCTAGAACTGTCTCCCTGATTCTCTCCTTTTCGGTACCGGCTCCGCTTGGTCTCTCCCCCCTTTTTGTGTTTATCCCTCTTTCTCTGGGTCTTTGTCCCCCTTGCACACAGGGTGGAGCGGGCTGAAACCAGGGTGGGGTGCACCACCCCCTGCCCTGTCCCTGCCCCTTCCTGCCCTCTTTGATGCTGGCCCACTTCCTCTGGCAGGAACCCCCGCCCCTATCGGCCGGGGTTAAAGGCAGGGGGAGGCAGCGCCCTGCAGGCAGTGACTTCTCTTCCTCGTGGCCCTCTCTCCCAACCCTCGTACCAGTGCTTCACCTAAGACCCTGGTACAGGTGTGGGGGATAGGGACCGGGGACCGGCACCTCCAGCATTTGAGGCATACCACCAGCAGAAGCAGCCCAGGTCTGGCTGGCTGAGCCCTGAGGGGGTCTCTGCCCTCCACCCAGAGCTCCGAGCCTTCTCCAGCTTCCTTCTGTCTGCTCAAGGTCTCTGCAGCTGTCTTTCACCAGTCCCGCCTGCAGTCTTCAGACGCGGTCAGGTCTCTCCTTGTTCGGTGCCCAGGAAGCCCGGCATCTCTCTCACCTTAGGGTCTCTCCATCTTCAGTCCTGGCAGCTTGCTTCAGCCTCAACAGCACCCTATGCCCTGCTCTGATTTCTCTCCCCACCCAGGACTCCTACCTCCACCTCCCCTCCAGGCTGGGCAGCACTACTGAGCTGAAGGTTGGCCTTTGCTGCAACACTGGCCCCCAGACCCACTTCCTTGGTTTTAAGAGGCAGCTGCTACTGAGGAAGTTTCCAGAACCTGAGTGAGACTTGGGACAGCTACTTGCTGGGCCTTTAGAAGGAGGCGTTTCTTTCCCTTCAAAGGGAGGATGACCACTGACCAGTAGAATCCTAAAGTCTGCCACAAGCCCACAGGGCAGAGCCCAACCTGTGTTTCCTATTCTCATTCTCCTCAGGGGATACCAGCTGAAGCCAAGTCTTCACTTCAGGGTTAGGAAGGCCTCTAGTGCCCCCAGAGCTCCAGTGGAAGCCTCAGATTGGGGGTGGGGTGGGGAAGAACCCAGCGGCCTCCACCCTTACTTCCTCCCCAGGGATTGGGGGGAGGAACCTTAACCTCTGGTAGCTGGGCTTGTTTAATGAGACATCAAGCTGAAGTGACAATTAGAGACCCAGAGGAACAGCAGCTGACACAGGGTCTTGGCCTTCACTCAGAAGTGAGTGGGAGGCAGGAGGTAGAGATGTGGGCTAGGTTTCTATTTTCCCAGAAGAACCGTGTTCTGTTCTCAGGGAAAAATCCCCTCCAACCTCCCCCCCGCCCTCCCCAAAGATCTCACAAGTCCAGCCTGGGAATGGGAAAAAGAAGTTTTATTCACTTGGGGTATGGGCGGCCTCAAAACTTCTGGAACTGCTTCTTGGTGCCAGCGGCTTTGGTGACCTTGAGCACATTGAAGCGTACAGTCTTGCTCAGGGGCCGGCACTCGCCCACTGTGACGATGTCTCCGATCTGGACATCCCTGCAGAAGAGGGGAGTGCACAAAAGGTTAGGCGTTTACCCACAAGTACCTCGGGAGAAAGGCCTGATAATCTACTTCCAAAAACTCAGCTGCTGAAATCCCTGGTAGAGGGGGAGTTGTTATGAGTTGGGAGTTCCCTCAATGGTAACCCCTTGTCCAGGCACTGCTGGGGTCTTTGTCATACAAGACAAAACTGGAGCCCCAAAGGGTCTCTTCTCTCAAGGCAGCCTCCCTGCCTCCACCTGTGCTCCTCTAGTCTAGGTCCTCGCCCCCAGCAGCCAGAGTGGTCCCAGATCATGACAACTCAGGCCAGTCTTGGCACCAGCAGTCACCTCCTCCAGCCCTGGCTGCCCAGTCGTTTCCCTTGTCTGCTGCCTGTGAGCAGCACACACCAAGCCAGGAACACAGAAACTCACTCCCAAGAAAACAGTTTAACAAAGCAGCACTTGATTGCCATCTTTCCAAGGCTCCTGTCTGGCATACCAATCTACTGAACTTTCTGCCTCATGTTGTTGTTGTTAAGTGCCGTCGAGTCGGTTCCGACCCATAGCGACCCTGTACAGGGTTTCCGAGGGTGTAAATCTTTACAGGAGTAGAAAGCCTCATCTTTCTCCCGCGGAGCAGCTGGAAAGTTGATTGTGGCTTTGCCCAAAATGCCACCCCAATCAGGTGCCCATGCTCACCTGAAGCAAGGGGACAGGTGTACAGACATGTTCTTGTGGCGCTTCTCAAAGCGATTGTACTTGCGGATATAGTGGAGATAGTCTCGGCGGATGACAATGGTCCTCTGCATCTTCATCTTGGTCACCACACCTAGGGGGAGAGGTCAAGCTGCATGAGGAAGAGGGCCAAGGGCCACCCAGGGGATGCTGGGAGTAAGGAAGGTCTGGCAGGGGTCCTACCAGTGCACAATGACATCATGAAACTAGACATTATCTAAGTGACGGCCCCAATCTCTCAGCCCCTTCTCCTCTTCAAAACTACCTCCAAAAAATTAATAAAAAACTCCGTAGTCACAAAAAATAAATAAATAAACTCTGTAGTCACAGCCTCCAGCCCCCTTCTCACTCAGATACCCACCCTCACTTACCAGACAGGATACGTCCTCGGATAGAAACATTACCAGTGAAGGGGCATTTTTTGTCAATGTAGGTGCCCTCAATGGCCTGGACAGAATAAGGAAGAGAAGTTAAGTACCGGACAGGCAGGGGGCGTGGCACACAAAACTACAATTCCCAGCAGCCCCCTGGCAGCCATTCAGACTTGGCCAGGATAACCGGGCTTAGGCACACGTGGAAGGACTGGGGGGCGGGGGGTGTCTCATCCTTTCTTTCTGCAAGTTTCCCCATACCTCCTTAGGTGTCTTGAAGCCCAGACCGATGTTCTTGTAATAACGCGGGAGTTTCTCCTTGCCAGTTTCTCCCAGCAGGACCCTCTTTTTGTTT